GTGGCCGAGTTAACGGCTCAAATTAACAAAAGGATTAACGGAGTGCATTTTGTATAGTTGAGGGATCAAAAAAGTGCAAAAAATTGTTAAGAGATCAAAAATATGCAATTTATTAAAGTTGAGGGACCAAATTTAGCATTTAACCTTGTTTTAATTAAAGTGATTGAACGTTAGTGGAACTTGGCGAAGTATATTTGTACCCACCGATTATTTGGCACTTAAACATTTAAAAAAAAAAATTCAAATCAGATACAGAACCACGTCAAGTTCACATGGACCGATAGACGCCCATGTATTGCCTCAGGTAACAAATTTTATAGATTTCTAACGTCGGCTTGATTGACACGTAATTGATTATTATAATTTAAATTTTTTATAAATTATAAATTATAAAAAATTTAATTTAAGATATTGATAAAAACAAACATATACAAAGAACCAATAAAATATTTAGCTTATAAATTTTAGTGTGTAACTTATATAGTTATTGAGTAGATTTTTCACCTTCATTCCCTTATCTTCATTTCTGGTGCCCTTTACCCCCAATTCTGTTTGTTAAATAAATAAATAAATAGGTATTTAGCCTCTATGATATTATGCTTAGTGGGAAGAAAAAGGTGAGGAAAATAAGGTCTGTAGAACACGGAGGATTGAAAAGAGAGTCAAGTCTTTCGATTCATGTACCTAATTTGGGATTACTTTCCCACAGAAAGGAGCAAAAACTCAATGAATCATGAAATTACTGTTTTGGATTATTCTTATGATAATTGATTCTAACTTGGACAAATTAGAGAGAAGAAGAGTGAGGAACTGAGGTCTACAGAAGAGGCTGCCGACGAAAAAAATAGTGAAAAGGGGAAATTCGATGAAATTGGAGGAAAGAAAGTAACAAATATCTTATTTAAATATTTCTTTTATTTGTTTTAATTTGATTTAATAAGGAGACAAATGAAAGACAACGTGGAAGAGAGAAGGCAGGGAACACATGATTATGCGGCATGCATAAACAAAATTTTTTTTTAAAAAATTTTTTTGATATTTTTTTTAGTGCAATTCAGTTGGCCTAGAGGCAGGTGTTCGGTATTCGGATATTGGGCCCTCTTATCAAATTCAGCACCGAAGTCCATCCGATTTTTCTCCAAACCAGCCCATTTACCCGGAAACCATAAAGCCCAATCCAAAATCATTTTTGGTAAATGCAAATTTTAGTTTTCAAACTTTTAATTTTACTCCTGAAGTTAAAGCAAGCGATTAAAAATGCATACACATTATAAGTTTAAAAATTAAAAATATACGTATATTTAGAAAGATTTAATAGGTTAATTGAGATGAAAGAATAAAAAAAAAACACTTTTATAGTTTAAGGACAAAAAAAATACAAAAAATAATTCAAGAATAAAAAATTTCAAAATTAAAAATACAAGAACTAATATTAGTATTTAACCATCATTTTCTCAATGCCGGCTTTCGGCAAACCGTTCAGTAACCGCTCAAATGCCCAGCCCTATTTCCAACCCATCTAGAACTTGGTCTCTGTTTGGCATTACTACTAATTCCTCATTACTGTTTGGGTTTACAGAAGATTAGAATTGGATTTAATTAAAGTTCTTGGTTTATGCAAAAGCGAAATTCAGTGACAAAGTTTTCCTAACTTCTTGAAAATAAGAAACTAGTTTACAATTTTGATTTTCAGACAGTTTTTACAAAATTTTAGAAGCAATAGTAAATGATACTTGGAACTAAAACTCCACACTAAGAAAATATCAATTATATTTTCTTTTCCATTCAAGTATAAAAACGAATGGAAATTTGTAAGGTATGAAGATAAATAATGGTTTGGATCTTAATAAGTCTACGAATCCCCCTCCTTTTATATTTTTGATTTGATAAAGTTGGGATTTGAGGTCTCTTAAGTATGTATAATTAAAAACAATAAAAAAAATTCATTTTAATAATATATTATTATAATTATTGTTATTTTATATTAACTTATATTTTTATATATTTAACTTTTAAATAAAACAAATAATAGAATATTTTTGTTCCCATGCATATTTATAAACAAAACTTTTTCAAGATTATACCACTATTATTTATTAAAAAATGATTGATACAATATTTGATTCAATACACTTAACAATATTTATCGATTTAATTATTAAAATTTGTTTTTGAAAATTTTTTCACTTTAAATTTAAATTTAAAAATATTAATTTATTAACGATTGAATTAATAAATGTTATTAAGTGTGTTGAATTGAATTATGTACTAATTATTATTTTATTTTATTCTATTCACATTTTAACGATTGAATTAATAAATGTTATTAAGTGTGTTGAATCGAATTATATACTAATTATTATTTTATTTTATTCTATTCACATTTTATATATTTAAATAAAAATTTTAAATTAATTTTTTAAAAAAGATCTTACCCATTGGATTCAAAAATTCTACGATTGTGAAAAAGTACTAGGCATGTGCTGACGTGCCTACCATGGACCTAACACGCATGTTAGGTTTCAATCAACAATTGTGATTAAAGAGACTAAAACAATGTCATTTTTTTTTTGGAACAATTTGACATTATTTATATGTACATACATGTACATACGAGAAAAGAGGAAAATAAATTTTATGAGATTTGAACACGTCACTCATAGAAGTGAACAGTTTTAATTTAGGATCCAATGTCACTAGGTCAGAACGGTAATTCCTAAAACAATGTCATTTTAACTCTTTATGGAACAAAGAAAAAATTTGACCGAGCAGTCTTGATCAGAGAACAAAATTAAGTTTTGAAAAGTGCTGTAACGGAGTAAAGCTCTATTTCGGTTCTATTTTGGGAAAACAACAATGACATAGAACGCGGTTGTACTTGCACCAAGGGGAAGGGGTTCAGTGGGTTCGAATACTAGACCCAGCCCTAGTGTTCTCTCTACTAATTAATAGGCCTTCCGGCCTTGCCATTGGAATTGTAGTATGGAGAACGTCGTTAACCATTGAACCAACTCTTCCTATAAATAAAACAAATCTTTCATTTATTTTTATACGGTTTAATGTTATACGTGATAAACTTATAATTATCACATTTGAAAATATAATTATTTCTTTATATTTGAAATTAAATTCAAATAAAAAAATTAGAGTTCAACTCATATTGTATACAAATAAATGAGTTAAGGAAATTAAAATAAATTATTATTTTTATATAATTTAAGATAAAAAAATTTATTAATAATATTATATATATTTATTTAAT